TGCCGGAGGAGGTGCCGGAGGAGGGACGGGACGGGATATGGATATGGATAAGGATAAGGATAAGGATAAGGATATGGATAAGGATAAGGCCTTCCCGGCTTGGCCCCGGCGGGGGCGATCCCCAGGGCACAAAGGGCTCTTTCTTCGCGCACTTACCGGGACATTTTTCAAAGGATTAGAGGTGATCATGCGCTGGATTTTTTTCCCTCCGAGGGCCGATATGTCTGTCTGTCCCTGTCCCCCCACACCCTTATTTTCCTCTGCCTTTGCCGCGGGACCCCCCCTCCCCGTCCTCCCCCCTTTCCTGCTCGCTAATGTACCTCCTGGATGCCGATTCTTTTAAGCTACGAAGAATTTCCTTTCGGGAGGTGAAACCCCCCAGCTCCTCCTGTTCAGAGGAAAGTGCTAGTGATGGTAATACGGGGTGACACTAAATAAACAGTTAAAGCAGGGCTGGAAAGATGGAGTTAATTATCCAGTGAGCTACATTTAAACCGAGACCAGGAGGGGCTGATTTGTTTTGGCGCAGGGAACTGAGAAGGAGACGAGCCACCGAAGGCTTCTTGCTCCTCTTTGGAGGCTCCTTAACTCGCCCTTGCTGTCGCCGGCCCGGGGACCCCGCTCCCTCGGCCCGGCCCGGCCCCCCGCGCCGCCCCGGGGGCTCCGCTGCGAGCCGCCCACGGGAATGGGCCATTTCAGGGGGTCCAGAAGTGTTTGGTTGGGTTTTTTTTTTCCATCTTTCTTTGCTTTTTCTTCCCCAGAAATTAGATAAATTCTCGTCTGTGCGGCTGGCCGGTGCCTGTGCTCCTCAGGTAAGTCTGCGTACGAGCAGCAGCCCCGCGATGCGCTTTTGTTTTTTAAATTTTCCCTCCTTCTTCCTTCTTTTTCTCCTCTTTTTTTTTTTTTTTTTTTTTTTTTTTTTAAGAAGTCTGATATTAATAATCCCCGTATGCCCCTCTTTCCGGGTCATTACGGTACTGCTGGTCTCTAATCAATCCTAATGCGATGGCAATTGGAGTCTCTGATGAATGCATCTCAGGTTTCTTGTAATGGCTCTACCACATTTTCCTGGACCTCCTTCTTTAACCTGAGATGCCAGGGGGACGTCTCCGTTCTCAGCTGCTGATTACTTCAAGATGTTTGGGCTGGTGTGGGGAGAGAGGGAGCGAGCGAGGCAGCCTGCCCCTGAATAATCTGGAACTGAATTGGATGAGCCGTTTCCTAAATCAAAGGACAACGGCGGGGTTTAACTCCTTTTCTGCACGGAAGCCTGCCGGCTTGCTTCCAGCGGCACCGCCTGCGCTGCAGCTCCCCCC